GGGGGGGGGGGGGGGGGGCAACTTACCACGGGGTCCAACTAGCCCCGGTCTCCCCTAAGCATACAGTAGGAAAATCACAGCCTAAATCGTCAATTTAACATCTTTCTATTTTCAGGTGATCGAGATAGTAATCGGAATGGGGCGTAACTTCATCCCTAAACAACACTTTATCACGAAAATTTGTAGAGTTGACCATGAGAATAAAGGCTACAAATCCCGTGTCTTCATTTTGGCTTAACTATTTTGTTATGGTGTTACCCCTTATTATAGATTTTCATTAAACAAAGCCATTATTTTGCTTTATCAACGATAAAATCTGAACTAAGACTCAAGAAAATTCTAAGGTAGGGTGCTGGAGTACTAAAATTATCATTAAATCCGTGATAATTTTCAAAACCAGTATGAAACTGGTTAACAAAGCCGCCATGCATGCAGCACTACCGGGGTAACTCAGTTAACTTTGAGTAAAGAAATGCCATTTACCAGGATCTACATTTAGCTCAAGATTTTCTTCACCAAGGCATTAGCAGCACGAAGCATGGCTTTATTTCAATACTTAATCTAGGCAATATCAATCCGATCTTTCTACATGAGACAAAAAACGAACATTTAAGATATATTGCCAAAATCAAAGCAAGCGATTTTTCAGGTGTACATGCTAGCTCTGAACCATAACAATAAAGGTGAACATACAGGTATTACAGAACATAGAGAGGTAACTTGCATAAATAAAATTATTATGCAAATGTATAAATCGTAAAAGGTTTCAAATAACAGATTTATAAAAAAAATTCGGACATTAGGCTTAAGGGGCTTTTGAAATCAAGGGTTGCAGCCATTTTGTAGATGTGCAACTTCGCCATAATATACAGTACATGTGTGCAACTACCGCAACGATAAATCCCAACTAAATGTGGAAATTCCGCGAACAGGTAAACATAAACTCTTTCATTTTTCTTAACCAAACAGCTGTAAAATTTACCCTGGGAACGCATTGAATTTATTTTCAAAAGCATGTTTACCTTTCTGTTAACTCCATCACGAAAATTCGTGTTAGCTTCAAATGACTTTTTTTCCAAAATCAATATAAACCAGTGTGCTTTAGCAGTTGACAAAGCCGCTATGCATGCAGCACTAACTCAGGTGACTGTGAGTAAATATTCTCCATGAAAAACCACATACAAAGTATACAACCACAAAATCAATGCAAACTATTATAGTACGTCAACTGCAAGTACCACCACAGCTAAATCAGCTGATCAATATTCAGGTTAACTATTGCAAATA